GACTCCCAGATCCTTTTCCACCTCCGTGCTGACAAGAGGGGAGTTCCCCAGCCTGTATGTGTGGTGCCGATTGTTCCTCCCCAGGTGCATCACCTTACACTTGTCTGTGTTAAACCCCATCCTGTTCTCCTCCGCCCATCCTTGTAACCTGTCTAGGTCCAACTGTAGTTCCATTAAAGGGTTACTTCTGATTTAATGACCCCTAAGCATTACCTGCTGGACAGAGGTGCTAACAGCTGGACAGGGTCAGTTTGCCCCAAGCAGCACAATTTGCCCCACAGTGAAGTGCATATTCAGGCTCATGTACTGAGGTACAAATTTCCGCCGTTGCTACTTGAGCTGCTGCAAGCACACATGCCTGCATGTGTGGACTCACCCTAAAGTTGTACATCTACCCTGAATTTGACTAGTAGTCAAGCCTACCAACATCCTACTAACGTTTGGGGTGCTATTCCTTATTTACACTAGTGCAACTGAAAAGAGATTCCGCCACAGTCCATCCTCTAAATCATGAAGATGGATCCAGCTTTAAGCGCCAACAGTGTACAGGTACATTCATGGGACAGTCACAGAAAAGAGAGACAGGGCCAAGGTGCGGGGAAAAACATTGGAAAATGGAGAAGAACAGGGAAAGGAGAGATGCAAACAGAACATGATGGAGGGATGCAGGATGAGAGAGAGAGAGAGAAAGACATATAGATGAGGATCAGTAGGTTGCTTCCCTTCACCCCCACCTCAGGAAGCAGGTCCCATTCCCTAAAAAGAGAATTCTTTCCATGAGCTTTCGTGATCTTTACACACAGGCAGCTTGACAGAGTGACAACCCAGTGTCTCCTACTAGACATTCTAGATTACTACTGGGGCACAATAGGAAAGAAATCTTAGCAAGGGCTGGGGTTAGTAGCCTCTGGCCCCTCTTACAATTTTGCTTTTATTTTAGCCTGGGGCAAAGTGCAGACTGTTCTCTTTTTCGTTGACTCAGCTGACCTAGAGAAAATGCTTGGAACAGGAGTAAACAATACGGTGGATTTTCTCTAGATAAATCCTCTTAAAGGTTAAAACACTGGGACACCGATTCTGTCATTACTTTCACTGACTCAAAGCATTTGCTTCAAGCAACAGGACAGAGGCTAGATTTGCAATAACTCTTATAAATTCTTCCATTTATTTTCTCTCTCAATATCTTGCTTTCCTTCTTTCTCACCTGCCAGCAGTTCGTGCTAAACTGATGAAAGCTTAAGAATGAAAGAATCACACATTTAGTGTTTGGACATATTGCAGCTGTCACACAAGAGTACAAGCACTGATTAGTCATTTACAAGAAGTATTCCATGAATACTTTGGCACTAGAAGTCTGGTTTTTCAGCAGGAGAGTATGTTTTATACTAGAGTTCATGGAGATAAATTATTCTAAAAAAACAACCTCTTTGTTCATACTATTAGAACAGTGCTAATTAAGAGTGCAGCTCTGTTTTTAAATCTACAGCATGGATTTCTAAAATGTGGAACAACTTGGGTATTTGAAAAACTGCCAGTACCTTTGGCATTAAAGGAACACGATCAACTTAAATTACTTTGATAAACCAACTTTTGAAAAAGATAATCCACTTTTTGATACAATATTCTTTAAATAATATGATCTGACTTTTTTTCTTTTTAAAAATAACATTCAAAGCATTTCTTATACGAGCTGTCCTGGTCTCTTGTTAATATTTATAAGGATCTATTCAGCAACACAAATCCTGACAAGCAAATTAAATCTAACTAGGCATAAATTCTGTCAGATGTGCAAAGAGAAGAAACTGTTAAAAAAAAAAAGAGATTTTTTTTTCCAACTCTTTGTTCAGTTATAATTATCTAAGGTTACTTGCAATTATAGTAGGACCAGTGTTTTCAAACAGAAAAGTGCCTTCCTCAAGCAGACGGAGCCCCTTTACTGTTTGTCTGCTGTCTTTCATGATACTGATTTCAACAGCTGCATCTTTTTAACTTTGCCGCTGGCAGATTTTGAAAAATGGGTGAGGGTTTTCCTATTCCCCACCCCCAGAATATAAGATTTTTCAGAATACACACAGACATATTCTGCTTTCTGAAACACAGGTTATTTCCAAGTGATTTTCATTCAGTCACTAAAATTACTCCGGTTTTATGTCAGTGTGATGAAGAGCAGGGTTTACCTCCTTCTTGCACTATGTGCTCTTGCCAAGACATTCCTGAGCATTCTCTGCATGTTCCTGCATGCATACTTCAAACCTGGAAATGTGCCAGTGACCTTGCTCTGGATCATTCCCAGCAACTCTTTTCCAGCATGCCAGAGACCAAAGTTTTGAAAGCAGCTGCTGGGGAGGAGCCCAAAGCAGCCACACCAGTGTATTTCTGGGTTTGGAGTGTGCCTGTGGGAGCAGCTAGGAAGACGTACGCAGAAGTTTCCTGGATGGAGCATGCTATTGATTAAAGAGAACTGTCTCAAAAATTTACCTAAAAATACAACTGATTCCCACTTAAATATCCTTCATAGAACTTCCTTCTCCATTACAGTGCGACTTTTGAAAGTCTTTGTAATTCACAGTTGGTCTGAGAAGGAAGTGCAAAACGAGAATAGCTGTTCTTGTAAGTCTTACAGCCCATGTCTGCAGATGCACAGACTTAAGGCAGTTCATATAAATGCATCAAGTATTTCTGCATGTTATGTAAATAATAATTATAACAAAAACAATAATAATATCTGAACTGCAGTCAGCCTCCACATCTTTACAAATGTGACCAGTGCTAAACCTGAGCCAACTTCACCTTCTGTGTCCTGCTATTTGTATCCACCCACAGGAGTCCTGTACACAGACTGATGACAATGTGCTGCACGCCTCATTGAACATAATCTATTTCACACCCTTGCTGGGATAATTCACCCACTTCAGCTTCCATAAACATTTAGCCTAAAGGGAACAGTCTGGCTAGGTATAGTGTAATAGTTTTCAGTAACTCTTAAATTTCACAGGCCACTAATGCCACCAATTGGTGATTTCTGGTTTATTTCTGATATTGGCACATGGGTATAGGACCCATCCATGAAAAGCAAACTAAGGTTTGCTTAAGGCAGGCTCAGGTATAAATATAAACAAACAGACTCAGCCTTGTTTTTTCCCCCTCTTACATTTTCTTTCATAGTACAAATTTTTTTTTTTGGAAGAAAAGGAATTCCCTCATTACAAAGGTTAATACTAGCTCTCTTTGTTTGAGATGCTATACGATAATCATAATTTATGGCACAGTGATCAGATGTTGTCTACATTGGCTGATGAGATATCTAAACTCTTTGGTTTTGATGAACAGCAATTTTCATTTCCTAAATCCATTCTGTTTCCTAGTCCTGTTCTTTTGTTCTGTACTTAGATCCCAATATCTCCTATAATCTCTTTTCTCTATGCTGTCCTACACCTGTGACATCACAGCAGTGATAAGATTTACCTTCCTTTGATCCTGCAGCTCCTTGAATCTGCTGTGGTTTTTGGGTTGATTCTATTAAGTTAGGGATTGTCACCTGGGGGTACTTGGGAAGGCCCTAGGGAGCAAGCACTTGTGGGCAGTGATGTAGTGTTGCCACCCACCACCCCGCACCGCTGCCTCCCAGGAGCCAGCTGGATGCCAGGGAAGGGTGGGGAGGGGGAGGTCACATGCAGCAGCCTCTGCTGCCACCCACGACACCACGCTTCTGCTGCTCTGCGTCCAGCTGCATGCCACCCCCCGCGTCCAGCCTCCAGGGGTACACTTATTAAAAAGGATGGAAAACCCTCACAGTGTTAGACTTGGCACTTGTGCTGGACATGATGCTCAGGGCCAGTCAGAGCATGTACAACACCTGCACTGAACTGTCCCTATGTTATGCATACAGGGTCGGTCTGAATCAGGTCGACATACCAGCCCTGTGTGCCAGAGCCAGTGCACAGGTCAAGTCCAGCATGGGGGCCACATGTAGAGTGCAACCTAGACTGATGCCACATGTGCCATGCAGCGTGGGGCTGGAGCCAGCATACATGCTGTACACAGCATGTGGGTACTAGCCTGGCATGCATTGCACGTGGCACCCACAATGGTCTGGCCCTATGCACTGGCTTCAGCATGGAGGGCATGTCTATGGGCCCTCCTCACTGACATTGCACTTCACAGGTGGGTATCTGAAGAACTGCCAGGACCTCTTGTTGTCCAAGTGTTACCCAGCTGTAACCCAGGAGAAACACTGCCAATCCTGAAAGGGTGCCAAAATGAAAGGGTACAATGATGCTTTACCTTCCCTGCACAGTATTCTTCTGTTCCTCTCCAGTCGGCAAAATGACTGTGACATCCATCATCCTGTTTATCATATTTTCCTTCATGTTTACCAGGTTCTGATCAGGGATGACTTCCACATCTGTGGGAGGCTTTTGTTCACTGTGGATTTTACTTGCAGTAGCAGGTTGGCCTGGTGGAGGGGGAGCTCGAGACTTCATTCTCTTCCTTAAGAAATAAAAACAAGTAATACATTAATGGGCATCTTTACACATGCTCCGGAAGTGAGGGTGAGTGTGGGGAACTTTAATAATTAAGCAACCACAGCATCTCGTGTATTCATATAATCACAGAAAATTAGTGTTGGAAGGGGTCTCAGGAGGTCATCTAGTCCAACTACCTGCTCAAATCAGGGCCTTCCCAACTAGATCAGCCAGGACTTTGTAGACCTGGGCTTTAAAAACCTGCAAGAATGGAGATTCCACCATCTCTCTAGGTAACCTGTTCCACTGCTTCACCACCCTCTCAGTGAGAAAGTTTTTCCTAATATCCAACCTCCCTTGCTGCAGCTTGAAACCCTTGCTCCTTGTTCTGTCATCTGACACCGAGAGCAGTCTAGCTCCATCCTCTTTGAAACCACCCTTCAGGTAGTTAAAGGTTGTTATCAGAAGTCATGTGCCTCAGACACTTAACCATTTTCACTGCCCTTCGCTGGACTCTCTCCAATTTCTCCATATCCTTTCTACTATCCGCCTATCTGAGTACTGCCTATCTAGTACACCCCCAAGCTTGATGTCATCCACAAACTTCATTAGGGTGCAATCCATCCCATCTTCCAAATTGTTAATGAAGATATTGAAAAAAATTGGCCACAAGCCTAAGTCCTGGGGCACTCTACTTGATACTGACTGCCAACTAGACACTGAGCCCTTGATTACTACCTGCTGAGTCCGATGATCCAGTCAGCTTTCTATCCACTCACTTCTGACCAACTCAGCAGTCCACATTGTGCTCTCTTTATCAACCATATTCTCCTCAGCTAATCACCTGAACCCAGGCCCACCTACAGAATTCTGTGTGGGAACTTCTGACCAGAAGGAATTTGCAGTAACTCAGAAGATCTTAAAAGACAAGTGTGTTTTCTTGATTCATAGAAAGTTAATAAGCAGGGAGAAACAGGGCTGGTTACCACCATATGAAACCACATTTTTTATTTTTTCTTAAATCTGTGCCTTTCCCTGCCAATTTAGACAAGTTCTACTCAACCCAAGTACCTCTGAATAATTAAGCCTCACTAAAGAATCCAGCCTCTCCAACAGTTTTCCTCTTATCTCGGAGACTGGCTTTTATCTGTTCCAAAGACCTCTGTTGAACATTTCCAGGCTTGTCTGAGTGTACTTTATCCATGAGAGACAGAGAGAGAGAGTGTGTGTGTGTGTGTGTGTGTGTGCGCGCGCGCACTTCTTCAGAATGCAAATCCCATGAACAGAGTCATCATGTCATCCATATAACCAACAGTCAATAAAGCTATCTACCATTATTAACCTAGTTCTTCTAACCCCAAAGCTAACTAGACTTGA